AGTTGTCATGGAGGAAGAACTTACTGATTGAGACTAAACTCGTTTTTTGAACCAGGCTGTAAACACGTTTAATTCTGCTCTAAAGTCGAGCCAGCCTCAAGTGGCCACCCAGTGAACTGCAGTTATTTGCACTTCCGTATTGGCCTCAGCGCTCAGCCCGGGATGTTGCCGCTTGGATTTAATACGTTTTGTTTTCTCGAGATCTCAAATTCATTATCTCGTTGTCACGGGAAAACGGGTGGAATAAAATGTATGTATGTATGACCCTTTAGGGCTTCCGTACTTTAGGGCTTCTGTATTTATGACATATTTCACATTTATATTTCTGAATGTATCGCCTGTTTATTAATTTCCCTTTATATCCCAATGACAATGTTTGAATGACAATGTATGAATGTTTTAAAAACTGTTCAACAGATTCTCCATAAAATCAATCTATCATAACTGTCACAATAAGATATTAAAAATGTGTTTTTTAAATTTATCTGTTAAATAACTAGACTCTTTGTGTCTGTGTCATTCTATATGATCTACCCTGAGGTAATCTGTAGTTTATAATATGAAGTTTATAATAATGTATTGATTTCTCTGGAAAACAATGCACAGAATTCTGTCATATTACATCAAATCTCTATTACTTCACATTCTAATCTTTGTTCATTTTTCACCTATACATAACGTAAGCAAACCTGTGTGATTTGTAACGTAGTACTGGAGAGCTGTTGTGTCGGACTCAGTGGGGAACAGTAAAAAACTTATGTCAGTAAATACCAAACTCGTTGAAGGTGCAAGAGAAAAGCAGAGGCTGGCGATAAAATCGGATGAAACCAACACAGGTACAAGTTATGGGAGTGATTTATTCCAGGATGCAGGTTTAGTGCACTACGCTTCCTGATGAGGACACACGATCGAATTTAACTGCAAAATCAACAGATCAAACAAACGGCAGAAAGAGAAGAATAAAAGAAAAACAGTGTGGTCAAAATTACATGGTCAGTGCCATCATCGGTGAAACTCCTTCACTTTTATATTATAATGTCTAATTCCCACTCTCCCCTTTGTTAAAGAGGACATTTATACAATGACGACACATCACTACAAAACTAAGAACAAGTTGAACATGAGCAGATTATGTACAAAAGATGAATTAAGGTGTAAATCAGGACAAGTGAAAGTGATCTGCTGCATCAAATACAAGACAAACCGAGGGGTGATCCTGGTGGTGGTGGTAGCATTGGTCTGTAAAAGACTTTTGGATTCAGAGTCAGAGTGGACTTGTTCAGTTGCTGCCCAGTACGTGTCGACGGCACTGCTCACATCATAGACTTCAGCAAAGGCAACAAAAACACTCACCAGTGTTCACACGTACTGGGGAAAATGACAAGTGTATCAAAAATATTCATGTACATAGTTGTCACTGTGTAGTTGTGAGTATCTTTATAAGACAATGAAATCATTTCCAGTTAACAATGAAGACCATCAAATTATCTCACTCATGAGATTACACTGAGAGTATGGAGAATGGATACATGTGAAGCAGGCAATTGTGTGGAGGAAACAGGAAATAGTGAAACTCAGAAAAGGGTCTGTCGAAAAAACTACTTGTGTGTATTTTGGTAGTAGTGTAAAACACTCACACACGTCAAAGGGATTATGTACAAAGTGGAGATTGTTCATATTTACACATTTACATACAACAAACCAAACCTTTAAGGAGACGCAATTCCACCATGGGCTATGCCTAATATAGGCTGATACAGTCAAATATATCAACTACACCTTCCCTCCATGACAGCGACCTTTGTCTCCAGGGGAATGAAGTCTGACCAAGAACGTGTGGGAAGGAGGAGGTGGAGGAGAAAGGGGCCGACGGTTATTAGAGATAAATAAACTCAACAACGGGTAATGTCACAGAGCAGATCAACCTCTGCGGTTTTAGGCACCACGGGACAGACGATGAGCTTCTACAGGAGGTGGTGCTGGTTTCTAACACCACACAACAAAACCTCTGTAAACGTGCGAGTAATAAACAAGTGCGTGAATGCAGTGGGGCTCTGACCGATGACGACGTCTGTGTGACAAACAATATCTTCTGAAGGAGCTGAGCTCAAGGAACTGTGAGTGGGGTGTTTCCAAAGTGCAACACCGCCCTCTTGTGTTTGCATGTGTTCACCCTTCATATGCAAATTCACAAGAGTATATCATAGCCTACATTCTATTGAGAGAATATTATTGCCTTTGAAGAGACTGGGTCTGGTGATTGAGAGAAACAAAAAGGGGATTAAAGAGCGAGGAGTAAAAATACATTATACTTTCATTGGAGGTTACCATTCATCTGAGCACACTGGTCATTCTTTAAGAAGCTGTGGCCTTTTGGTCATGGGGGGTTCAACCCTCTTTGACTGTGAATATGACTGAACACCCGTGCAGAGTCATGCTTGCTGATGTTCAGAGTCTACAAGTGAGACGACAGCGTACACACAGATATTGTTTTTTTAAAACACATGGGAGAGTGTGCTTGGTGTGATGCCATCCAGTTCTCCATCCTCACCGGGGGTCAGGTTTTTAAGGGCTGAGGAGGGGGGCTTGCAGTTATGTGACACACATTGGGTGAAGCAGAGTGTCCTATCCCCTGGCAGGAGGAGACAGAGGGTGGGGAAGAAGGATGGAGGTGAAGGCCTCCACCAGGCTCAGCCCAAAAAAACTAAATCACCAAAGTTGGAGCTTGAGGAGGCCATGGAGAGGAGGTGAAGTGTCCAAGGTGGAAAAGAAGGAAAGGAGAAAGAAGGAGGAAGGCAAAGTGGAGTCCCTGTGCTCGTTAGCCGGCTAGGCTAGGCTAGCTTGTTAGAGTTGTCATGGCAGCCATCAGCTGGTTAGGTAACTGTGTAGTTCTCTGGAGTTGATGCTCAGGACCACACCTGAATGGTTACCTGGCAACAGAGGGGTGAGAAGAAACAGGCAAACCAATGAGCGATGCTGAACAGTGACAAACACTAATCACCACACACTGGTTCACTGGTGTTCAAGATGTGGAGTTGATCTGGGTCCTCCAGGTCCAACAAATGTGTCAGCTGCATCTCAACATCTTAACATTAGTTAAGCTGAATTTAAATATATTTCCCCCTCTGCTTTGTGTATATTATGACTGTAAGAGAAGTGGTTACTGTGCCATTTATTTAAAGTTACAAAATAAATGAATTCATTCTTTTCTCCCCCTTTAAAGGTCCAGTGTGTAGAACCTATGGGGGATCGATTGGCAAAATGGAAGATAATGTTCACGATTGTGTTGTTTGTTATAGTATAAACATGTGAAACTAAGAATAATCTTTTTGTAACCTAAGAACGAGCAGGTCCTCTTCCATGTAGGGATTTTCATATTTTTATGTCACCCGCAGGCCACTGTTAGCTCTCCTAAGCTGGCTGCAATCTACACCCTCACCTCTAGATGTCACCAACCTCACACTGAACTAATGATTATAACTAATGCTAGATGAATCCATGCATTATTTTTTCATTTGATTGATGAATCAATTAATATAATCAAATTATCAGTCCAAAACTCAATCATATAAACAGAGAAAAGCAGCAAGTTGACAGATTCGAGAAGCTGGTATCAAAAAAGTTTGGCTGTACAACAAAGTGGGAACCTACTCATCATGTGGCATTTTCTCCAAAGCACCACTTACTGTTAAAACCTCCACTGGGTACCTTAAAAGTTTATATCAGCATAACATCATACAAACAACTGTTTTTGTAGCATTTCAAATGTTGGACACTCTCGGTGCTGTAGTGTAGTTCTGGACTTAATGGAGAGCAACCACCAATAAATCATGCTCATGAAGAGGTGGTGATCACTAGAAACCTACTACATCCCCGATCACACATTTCCTTGCTATCATCATGACAAATCATATCATACATAACATCATATATCATATCTCAAATACAAATTCATCTTTTTTAATATTAACTTAACCTTTAACCTGTGTTCTGGAAACCCATATGGCGACATTGTATCTTCTTATGTTTTGGCAACACTCAACAAAATCAATATTACTTCATTTTCCATTTCTGTTTTTATGGCACAATAAGATGACATAATATACTTATGATATGATTTTGTTATGCTTGCAAATCCAAGTGATGACCACACAATGCCCTCTGACCCTCCCAGTAAAAAGCTTTGAACATGGCCACATAGCTTTTAGCAGTACCAGTGATAAGGATGAAAAAGGGGAAGTCCTCCAGTACCTTGGTGTGTGTTAGCTGCTGGTGTTAGTGGCTTGAGTTTTAGTAGCAGTGGTTAGTGGTAGTCCTTATAAGGGAACGGAAGGCGGGGCTACCTCCTGCGTTACCTAGAGTCTGAGAGTCCAGGTCGTCATCAATGAACTCCTCGCCCTGAATGATGTGCTGGGTGTCCTCGCTGTGATTGACAGGGCTCGTCATCTCCTGCTCCTTCTCATTGTGCATCTGGGCGTAGACATTGCGATTGCCTGGAAGCTTCCTGAAAAACAGTGGAGGATAGGCATCCTCAGTCCTAATCCAAGGACTGTGGGATTTATTGTTTTTATAAGATGGGGCTGTAGATTTGCACTGCATGTTTTAATTCTGGTGACTTTTTTGGTGAATGTATGTGTTCGGGACACGAGGAGGTGCTGCTGGTGGGTGATTCAAGTGAAAAAAGCATGCAAATACTAAATCTCACACCATTTATCGACTGAATTTTCATGCAAGCCACTCGGGTTTGGGAATATGATGCTATGAAATGATGCAAATATGTCAGCCACCAGAGTTTCTGCTTCAGCATTTAAACATTGGTAGCTTTCTCTTGGATCTGGTTGTATAAGGCTACTCTACAAGGCCAATCAATCAAAGATAGATTTATATGATTTTGTCTTGTAAATGATCAAGTAAATCCATATTTTGGAAAAATCTGATTAGACAACCATTTTGTTCTAGCCTGAAATTCTTGACATCAACTTGGTGTAGGCTATTTCACAAAATTTGCCATAAATATTTCTGGATCCCATGAGGTGAAGGTAGTTTCTTTTTGTATTTTTGACATTTGTGGTTCAGAGTAACTACATTGCTTCACATTACCCACAGATTAAACTGTATTATCACTGATGTTTCACTAAGTTTTAGCTGGCACTATCATCAAGTCAGAACTTGTTCAGTATTTTGGTTTATAATTGTGGTATTTTTGAGTCAAGATACCGGACTGGATAATATGTCTTTATGATAATATGACTTTATGATTATGGCTGAAATTTATTTTGCAATTGTTAGCATGCGAAACTATGACATTGTACATGGTGAACATTTCCTCCTGAAACATGATACATTTACTAATTAGCACAATGTTTTTCAATTCACCAAAATACTGGACGAGTTCATGTTTTTTTCTTTCCACAGTCGCCAAAGTGCTGCTCATTTCTCTATAATTATGGTCTCAGCCTTACTGTGTAAAGTGCCATGAGATAATGTGTGTTGTTATTTGGAGCTGTACAAATACATTTGAATTGAATTAAACATCAGACACAAATAAAATAGTTTTAAAAAGTGCTATTTAATCTCAGCTGTATCTGTTTGGTCTGACTGACTGTTAACATGGAATGACTCACCTTTTGAACTTGTACAAGATGAAAGAGCCAGTGCCGATGATGCTAATTAGGAAAATGACAGCGAGAGCCCAAACACCTGGACCTCCAGCTGCTCCATGGTAACCTAGGGTGACGATCCACACAAATATCCCAATGAAGAATCCATTATGTTTGCACCAGTAGCGCAGAGGTTTCAGAAGATTTGCAAAAAGATACAAAATAGGAATCAGAAGATATCAAGACAAAAATCTGTAGGAACTAAAATACAAAAGTAGCAGAGAGAGATAAAGCCTGTCAAAGCATTCAACTCTGTTAAAGTTTTGCTGAAAGATGCCACCTGCTCAGATAACAGGCATTCAAAATTCATTGAAGTATAAAAAGCACAGCACGGCACGGCACGGACAGACTCAGTCTGGGTAAGATTCAGATTTGTTAGGCAACCAGGAAAGGAAAAGGCACAGGGATCAAAGAATGCTGAGGAGGAAAGCTGCAGGTGTATGTTTCATAAACGCACCAGTCTCTGCTGCCGTAGCTGTTGAGTCATTAGCAATTAGACCTAGCCGTTGGAAATAAATCAATAACATGCAATAGTCACTAAAAACAAAAAAATATTTGTAGTTTGACTAAATGGGAAGTAATGCACATGGAATCTAAATGTACCTGCGTTCGGGTCAGCTAGCATAACCAGCACTTGTAGACCTCCTCTCACCACAAAGCTGACATTGTTGTCATTGAAGGCCTGCATGATGGCCGGAATACGCTGAGGATGAGAAGATGTTCAAAGAACAACAACAAAAACCTTGAAACACAAAGTAACACGTTGGGTTGTGACTCCAGAAATTTTTGTGGTACACAATAATTAACTGAATTTGATTTTCTTACCTTATCTACAAAAATGCTCTTCTTGGCTGGTTTGCTGCTCAGTGGGAGAACGTACAGGTCAGCGGTGGTGGGGAGGCCGGGCTTCACCACAGTAACCAGGGACTCCTGAGGGACACCTGTGATCTGAGGTCAGATTGTTACACGTCAGTCACATCTTTGTAACCACAATGACTGATTCTTTGACAGTGCATCAAATGTGTATTGCTGGAAGTGTCCTACCTTGGCGAGTATTTTGGTGACCACCTGGCCGATGTCCTCTCTCCACTCTGGGATGTTTGGGTTGAAGTGGTCCAGATTCCTGCTGAAGCTCAGAGGGATGACCTGGAAGTTGTCTGGGATATGACAGATCACAGTTATCATCGAGAAATCAAACCGAACCATTCTAGCAGAATAAAATAAACCACAAATATTGCATTTTCTTATGTATAAATACATTGACACACTTTCCATTATGTTACAAAAATATTTCTCTAATCAATGTTAAATACACTGTTATTTTACATGCGGCATCTAATGCACTTCTGTCCGTCCTGTACAATATTTTTTGCTACATCCACCAAAGTCTACAGTGGGCTTCCATTCTGTTACCGTAGACTCGGACAGTCCTGGTATCCTGGACCATGGATCGGCCGTTGGAAGCCTGGACGGTGACTGAAACCTCTCCTGTCTCAGGGAAACGAGTCAGAAGGCTGTTCTGCAGAGTCAGCGTCGGCTGTGTGAGAATGAGTCAAAGCGGGTTGGCTGTTAGTCATCTCAGGGTTAACGAAAAGGATTCAATGTCATTCAATTGACTTATATTGAAATCAGCAGACTTCCACTTTTTAATCCTATTTTAGCACAAGATTGTGGTGTTTCCTTACCCGCAGGTTGTCTCCTATCCACCAGTAGAAGACAGTCAGGTTGGCCTCAGTGGGAAGAACTATGGCGGTAAGATTGACCTCATGGTTGCTCCCAGCGATGGGAACCACTTCCAGGTGCACTTCTTGTAGTGGAGCTATAAGGGAAGGAAACATGATTCATAGGCTGACAAAAGAATTTTATTTTGATTCAAACACTGAAAACTGAAAGTGATGGGTGTAAGATTTACTTCTGGATGATGTTAAATTACAGGTCAAACTCATATCAGTCAAGTAAATGTTTTATACAAGTGCTTCAAGTAAGAAACATAGTATTTGAGCCCGAACCTAATTTAATCCTGGCAGAACTAAAGGATTACGGCTCAGTGAGTCTCCTGAGAGTCTTCATTATCAGTTTACACTCATACAATGACAGAAAGACTTGGACTTTTACAGCTGCACAAAGGCAGGGTTGTTTTATCAAAGTAAAAGTAAAAACATTAAATAAAATCCCCACAGACTGAGGCATGATACAGATTTCAACAATCAGACAAAGTTAAAGGCAAGTTAACCCTCTGAAAACACTGTCTGGGAACCGACCTGTGACCTGGATGTACATGGTGGCCTCGTCATGCCCCGCCATGTTCTCAGCCTTCACTGTGACCTTGTAGACGCCGGGCTTTTCATAGCGATGCTGAATGGGTTCATCAGTCACCGTCAGGTTCTGGTAAATGGCCCGAACGCCGTCACCGAGGTCCACCTGGTACTTGGTGCTGCTGGTGTCGCCCTGGCAGGAGGAAGCAACCACTTCCATCACGTTCAAGTGGAATTAGGAAAATAACAACTAATAGAAAAACAACTTTCATCCTACCTGCTCCTGGTGGACAATGAATGTGATGTCATCACCAGGCGCCACGGCCAGCATCTGCCCTTTGATGCCGACCCGTAGTCCTTTTGGGGGCAGCAGAGGGCAGCTGTGCTGTTTGGCGCTCTGCTGCCGGTTCAGCCCCCCCTCACACACATTAAATATCACCTTCCTGTAGCTGAAAGGGAGCAGATGATGGCAAATGTCAAAATATAGACATGTGTGCTGTGTAACTCAGCAATTTGGGAAATAAGCTCATTCATTTTCTTTTTGAGAGGACTGAGAGGAATCCAACCAAACCCAGTGCGCCCCTCTTCAAGTTCTGGAACTATCAGAACGATGGAATTCAACAGCTTATTGTGATCATGTTGGGCCGGGATAAACGTGATGACAATAAGCAGTTTCCACTGTAATAAGAGTATTTCAAAATCTGCCATGAATGTGTGTGTGTGTGGACGTGTGCAGACCCAGTGGTGCTCTCGTAGGTCTGTCCTAGATGGCAGTCTTCAGGTGGTGAGTCAGGATCATGCCAGAAGTCAGCTAAGCATCGATCGCCCTCTTTGTGGGACCTCTCGAAACCGTAGTCACTGTGCATACACACCATAGACACACAAAGAGGTGATGTACCAATAGCTGTAAACTTCACAGCAGGCATTCTGCATCAAGTGGATATATTTAAATACATGTATGCAATTATATAATCTAAATTACAATAATAGAGAATAATGAACAAGGTGAAGATGCAATGCAATGTAAGCTGTCATCTATTATTTTAAATGTAAAAAAATGTTTAAACCATAGTTTGGTTACTTTCACTACTTGACTACTAATGAGGAGTACATTTACTTAACACTAAACAATTTAAGTGGATACTCAGGAATATTTGTTTTACTGGAAACGGTAAGTATTTGAGACTTTTACTTTTATTAATACTATGCATACTTTTTCTCTTTGTTTAAATAGTTTTTATAAAAATGTAATATAATTAGTATAATTAGCATAATTTAAAATATTTTATATCCTTGGTTGTCGGATTTCATTTCACACACTTTACTCCATTTTAGAACATTTACTCTTTTCTGCTGCGATGATCCAAGTTTATCCACTGGACCAGTTAAGTTACATGTAGTCAAGGGTTTCCCATGATTCCTTAGGTCTCACCAGTTGAAGTCTTTCTCTGTGCATTGACAGGGTTTGGTGGTGAGAGCAGAGGTGTAGCTCTTCCCTTTGATGCAGAACGCAGTGTCCTTTCTCTTCCTGAAACTCCGCTCCTGGCCCATAATGCACTTGTCTCCCTGAGAGCAGACGATTGAGATGTGAGCAATCATTTTCAGATATGAGCAGACATGTACAGTACGCACACATGCACGTGCTGTGTGTGTGTGTTACCTGCAGGTCCGTGAGGAGCCAGGAGTCGTAGTCAGACTCGGTGCACTGACGGGGGAAAGACTGCCTGAAGTCCACTTTGACCAGCTCCCAGTCTGACCTGTAGCTGATGTGGCCAAACACGCTGCACACACAGAAACAACACGGATGCGAAATGAACACACAATTGAATGTTGTATTACGTCACATGTGGACATGTTATCCCCCATGTATGAAGGCACTGTGAAACAGCTGGCTCCTCTGGCATCTTAGACCCTTCCCTCTCCTCTCCACTAGATGAGGATGTTTCACAGTGGAGCGCAGGTGATGAACACCATCCCTGTCAGTTGGATCATTTTCTGAAGCAGACTGATGTGACACAAATCATCGACTGCGACATATGTTGCTGTGCAGCTGGCGGGCCGCGTTCACCTTGTTAACCGCGAGGCGAGTGTGATTAATGTTGTCTTTACCGTCGTCATTAAAGGGAAGCGATGGACGTCTCACACAAGCTGATGTCACACCCTCTCATCCGTTTACCTTTGCAGTTTCTCTTTCTTTTCCCTTCACCTCTCGTGTCTTCATTCAAAGTCTGTGTATTTCTGTGTCCTTTTCAGGCACTCTTATTAAACGACTTCACCAACATTACAAAAAGTCATATTTTTCAAAAGCTCGGTTAAATTGCTACGAGGTCCCAGGGCCAAAATGAACTGTGGGGCCCTGTTGCTTTAGAGTGTGCATTCTACTGGCAAGATCAGCTCAAGGTTACTGGGAACCAGTTAAGACCTAGTGGAGCTATGTTTATTTTATTTAGATTTTATTTAGTTCAGTTTAGTTTAGTTTTGAATAATTTCAAAAGGCAAAATAAATAAATACATTTGTTGAAGTAAAAATCACAAAATAGACATCATCAACATACGTAGCTGTAAAAACCAAAAACATAATATATATATTCAGTAACATATATTGAAAGAGAATATATAATTTTCCGTCCCTTCCATAGGAAGAAGCAACATGCTTGTCTAATCCTATTCTAAACTAAATCATCAAACTAAAAATATAAATATAACTCCACTCTCTCCCAGCGACAGTCCTCCCACTCCATCACAACACTTATCACTTTTCTCATTGGTAAAATCTTTCGTCACAGTCCAGTGATTCATTGAGCCACACAGAGACACACAAAACATAATCTGGCCTACAGCAACACAAATGACAAATGTGTTTATTTGCATTTAGAGCGGGGAAGTGAGATCTGATCACAAGTGGTCACAGGAGACACATTCGGTATCATTTTAGGACCAGATGTGAACACACGTACTTAACACGGTCCACTTGTGATCTGATCTCTCAGGACAGATGTTAATATCAGGTCTGAACAGCGTATTAGAGATTTCTGCAGCCCCCCCAATAAAACAGATGTGAATGAAGTAACTTATCTTTGGAATTGCTTTTCCCTGGAACAAACAGCCCTAAAATAACTGTTCAAAGTGAAATCTGGGGATTATGCAACACTTGTTGGTCCTAAGAATCATAGTGTTTGAACTTAAATTGATTTCTAAATTATAATATATAACATTTAAAATTAGTTTGATCATCACAGGCGATTGTATTCATATTTTCCAATAGGAGCACTGACACTGTTGAATTATTTTATGACGATTTCTAAAAGCAGGACTTCTGCAGAATTTCTTCATTTCACTCTTTGACAAAAATGCTTGTGAACGAAACATGACCACAATAAGCAGAAGAGGTTACCTCACATTTGTGCAGTTGTACAGTTGTGCAGGGTGTCAAATAGAGCATAGGACCGAGATGAAACTAATAAATTCCCAGATGTGAATCGGACAAATAACATTCATCCAGGTTTAGGATAAAAACACTGTAGAATGAAACCTGTCCTGAGGGGTCATGTTGCTGTTGAGGAATACATATGAAATTATTATCTCACTTCCATTTGATTAAGAGCTAAAGCTTCAGATGTCAGCTTTTGACCCTTCACAGTCTCCATTGTCAGATTTTTGAAATTTGCTCTTGCAAATTCATCAGCGTGAAGTATATGTTAAGCAACTCTATTGCTTTGTTTGCGTGTCGGCTCCAGTTAATTTTGAAAGTTTTGTTTTTTAATAGCCACTCCAGAGCTGTAAGAGCTCTATTAGTGGACAAACAACACTGCAATCAGCTCAGTGAAAAGAAATCAACCCTCATTAACATTGTGAAATGTGTTGCTCCTTAATTCCTCTCATTAAAGTACACAGCTGAGGAAGAGGAAACATTTCCAAGGATGTGTTTGCGATTTCATTGCGAGAATGAAATCACATGCAGGGAGAACTTTAAGAAATATTATTTGTTTTGGTAGGTATGTTGCACATGGTGCAAGGAGGGAAATGGTTTGTCAGCAGCACAATGATCTGACGTGATGATCTCACACAGCAGCGTGTGCAGCACGAGCCCATTGAGAGTCTGTCCGGTCTTTGACTTTTGACCAGCTGTCATTAGTATGAGCGGTGGACGATCCCTGCTCTCCTACCTGTCCTTGGTGCTAAGTCACTGCTCAAAGACTTTATTATGGGATGGCAGGCTGCGCCGTCAAAATCGAAACTCTGTGACGAGGAAAAAGACCTTGGCTAATCTGTCAGACATGAGCTGCCCTCAACACCCCTCTGAGGCTGCTGACCCTATCTCGCTGCAGCCAGATGGGCCATATATATATTTATATATGTACCTATATATATGTGACTATGTGTGTCTGTGTCAAGCCAGACAGTGAGTCTGACACGTGGCAGATGAGTTGGACAGTTCAAGTGTCTCCCCCTTGTGTGCCACTGTGTGTGTGTGTGTGCCACTGTGTGTGTGTGTGTTTGTGACCGTCTCTTTGCCCTTCTCGGTGGATTACAGCTGCGAGCCGGCCTTATCTCAGGTCCAGGGCCTGCAGCCTGAGATGATGTGACAAGTCTCACTCCAGCTAACTTACTGATGGAGAGATTGGGTAAAGACAGAACCTCAAGAGATTTGAACTCTTCAGGCCTGGACTTTGGGGACTGACACTGCCAATACTCTCAGAATTTTGTCCGAAGCAGAACTTTCTTAAATAAAGTGGCAGTTTTAAGATATCTGTGACTCACAGCCTCTGAAACTGTTCAGACTTCAACAACCTCAGCTGTACTTCAGGTCATCTACACACTGAGTGGCTAAGCCAACAATAATAGTGCTTAGGATAGGCTGAGATTCTCTTTAGAGCCCAGACTGAACTCTGAAGTGATACCTCACTGCTCTTTTTCTTGGCAAAAATAAACCTGCAGCCAAAACTGAGTGGGTATCTTTGTCCCAGTAGTCATACGCAGGTTTATTTATTTACCCATGATCCTCTGCTACAGCTCGGGAAGGAAACATGAAAGAGATTCATTCTGAAACCTGGACTTTGGAACCTACTCTATTTTGGTCAAGAAAAAAAAGATGGTGGATGAGAAATGATTACAGCAGTTACTGATATTTTAAAGGTTCTTGTGAGTAAAACATTGCATATATTATATCATTTCAATATTTTCTTTGGATTAAAATGGTAAATAGTGTGTATTTAAATGGTGCTGTTCTAGTGCAGTTCTTGCCATTCACATAACATTCATACAGCGCAGCACTTTCTTGATCACTCATCACTCAAACACCTGCAGCTGCGGTGGTGCAGCTTCAGGGTTCTGCGGACTAAGTCCAGCGGCCAGTCTTTACTTGCCGCAGCTGTATTAATGCAGGTCACTTGTACAGTTTCAGAAAGAAAGCTGCTGACAGCCCATTCCAAACAGGCAGGATTAGAGCGGGCAGTGCGCTTGTCATATTCAAAGTGAAACTGGCAGATCTGAGTGTTAATAACAGAAAATGTACGAGTTGAATGTAATGGTCTGAGCTCGGTGGAGCCTGACAAAGAGCTCAGGAGAGACACAAACAAACACTGTGAGCCAGAGCAGAACCACAGAAATGTCAGGAGAGGAGAAAAGCCAGACAAGGAGGGAGGGCAGAGGGCACGCACAGGCCTGCTCTCCCATCAACCTCTGCTGCAACTGCAATCAAACCCTCTGGAGGTGAAGAGAGAAGACGACTTTGCAGGAAATCAGGAGGGAGTGCGGCTGGTGTTAACGCCTCAAAATTGGGCCGCCAACTCCAACAGATTGAGAGGGAATTGTTGTGATGGGAGAGAAACTTGAGTTTGAGTGTAGTGTTCCACAAGGCAGGGCTGCCCCATGTGTCCCTCTTCAACAACATTAGACCCAAGCTGAGAGTGGGTGCAGGGCTAAACTGTAGGAGGTGTAGGAGTTGCCATGGGTTTAATTTCTGCTTCCACATAGACTTCTGCACCAAATATATTATAATTTACACTTGAACTTGGATTCAAGCTCTAATTTAGATGCTTTCTGACCATTTTAAAGACACAGATTTTAATTGTACTATTCCATCAGCACTTTTGTTATGAAACATTATCTCCTGCTGAAATCAAGACTTCACTCACGTCATAACCAGGGTCTCGTCTCCTGGCTCGCTCAGGAGTCCATCAACGAACACGGAGGTGCTGGTGAAGTTGTGAACGGTCCATGTCTGTCCTTCATCGATACTGAACCTGCGGACAAAGAGGAAGTGGAGGTTGAACACGCTAACTGTAAGTATACTTCACTTAAATATACAAATATAAATAGGTGCAAAAGCATCGAATTTTGGTACCAAACTTGAGATTTCATGCTGATTGTACTCTAGGGAGGAGTGATGGTGTGACAAAGCTGAACATTTCCATCCACTAAAAAAGTTACTAAACATATTTGAATTAAGTGCTTTATATGTTTTCTGAAAATTAGACTATTTTTCCCAGTGCAACTGGAAAGATAAAGATTCTGAGATCTACAGAGCGAGTTATCTGCCAAGAGCAGTCAACAGCGGCAGCAGTGCTGAGTTAATATGGCTGCATGATGGAGAGTTATCGATGTGGGAGCAGCGTGTGGCTCTCACTGCAGGCTGCATGTGGCAACGATGTGCTAACAAGGGCTACAATGTGATAATGAGCAGGTAAACATGTAGTTACACAGAAACACCGAGAAGATACAGAGCTGCCGAAGTCTCTGTTGGTTAAAGGCCTCAGCATGCCTCAAATAAAGTGTTTGTCACGTTGTTTTTGAAACCTACTTTCTGACGCCAGAATCAGGAGGGTGCTGCCTCCGACAGTTTTTGTTTTGGTCAGGTGTGAGGACATGGGGAATTTGGCAGGTTTTGAATTTCTCTCAAGCTCTTTTTTTATTTGTTACATAACTGCTTCCGCAAATGCATTTTATGAGCATCTAAGTGAAAGAGCAAGAAGTTTTCGATAAGAGACTGACTTTCGTTGTCAAGACTGCAAAGACACGGTGACAACAGGAGGACTGAGACCCAGAACCCTGACTGTTTTTTTAAGCAACCGATTGGTAAAATGGCCAAATCCTGCCAACCTCACCAACGTGACTTCAATTCATGCCCTGGCGACTCACTGGATGAGACCCAGTGGAACCCCCAGAAGTTTCCCATGACATCGCAGTGACATTACTCAGGTGATAAGAGCGAATGCCCATGTGCTTATTTTACTGCATGAGCCCCTTCAGTGCTGCACATAGGTGCTCTGTATGAATGTTTGTGTGAATGAGTGAATGGCAAACTGTACTGTAAGTACTTTGAGTGGTCACCAAGACTAGAAAAACTCTATATAAATACAGACAATTTGAAGCAAACTGAAGCCTCAAGCGTATATTCTGATTCAAGTCACATCAAATAAGTTTTTTTTAATCTTGAGCAGGAGTTTAAATCCATAAATCATCAGCCGGACATCTACAGCCTTCCACATGCCGACGTCCTCAGTCACCCATCCAATTATATCTCATTTCCTCCAGCTAATACCCGAGGAATTATTAGAAATGGATGGAGCGATAACCTTGTAATCAAATAGATTAGTGGCCCAAACTTATAATTATGCACCATGCCACACACCCGCATTTAATCCATTCCTTCCAGTGCTGTGAAGAAACCTAAAACAAGACTTATTCTTCGTGGAGCTAATCAGAAATCAGAAATGTACATAACACAATCCTGTCCAGCCACCGTGTTACAGTGGCATCTCATTTCTCAGCCTGCTAGCTTTTCATAATTAAGTGATACGAATGCCTTGTGTGAGTCTGAGCTGACGAGGGGGAGCTGGGGACCGATCTTAACTAATCCGAGTCAGAGTGTGTGTGTGTGTGTGTGTAAATTCACAGTTGTCATTTATTACATTCTATATGCTTCATTTTTCAAGTGGCTGCGAATGAGGCATTGCTTTGAAGCTCGCAGTTGGAGATATCCTGCCCCATGGGAGCACAGTTTAATTGTTTCAGAGAGTCAGAGGCACTGAAGAAGAGTAGCCAGCCTTTCAAGGATGGGCAGAGATTTTCTGAAGTGTCATGAGTGTCTCACTGCGGACGGCTTGACTTGAAGGAACATTTGAGGTCAGCGAGTGTTCCTAACAGAGACAAGTACTGACTCCTCCAAACTGCTCTCTTTCATCTTGCCAGGTCAAGCTCTGTCTGTGTATCTCTTTCTCTGTCCTTCTAACCCGTTAAAGCTTCTATTACCTCTGCTTCTTGCTGTCGGGGAGATAAAACCCGGCCACATGGAAACATTACAAGTTCTAATCCTTAAAGAGTAGTGGTCGTTTGAAAGGAAATCCTGCTGAAGCTTTGACAACATCCATGATTAGGTCTGGATATAGAGCTCAACAGTGTGTTTCCAGAAGTCAATTTCCCATTCACTTTCTGAAGAGAGAGTTTGGATAGAAGAATACATTTTACTGGTGATGACAATCCTCAGTGTAGTAGCAACATATCTGTTTAGTGGAGCTCACTGTTACCATGGAAATAATTGCAACAATATGAAGGTTCAGCTTACTAAACCATGTTACTTTACTGTATTAAACTGTGTGAAACGCTTTATACATACATCCAAGATTGAAACTACAATAAGGGTAAATTCCGGAAAAGGAAAGTGCTAGAGGTCGTTGGAAAGGGATCCTTCTTAAAGGTTTATGGGATGTGTAGTTAATTCACTCATCATGTACACAATCTTGTACCTTTGCCTTAATTTCTGTTTCCAATAATTTGTTGTCAGAATCAAATATTTTATTCATTTCATAGCTGGTCGGCCTAGTTCAAGGCTTTAAATCTTTTTTATAAAGATTTTCTAAAACGGCAATGGAGAAAATGAAAGGGAAATTTGGTTTCTGAGCCAGAGCTGTTCTTAAAGTGGACAGTCACCATTATGCTCTATTGGCACTCAATTTTCAAGTATGTACCTTGGTTGGATTATTCACTTGGGGTCCAGTATTCCTCTCCACTGTATGTGTTGTATACAATAAACCCTTGGATACCACCTGCCCCCAGGATTGCTGTGTAGCAATTTAATTAAGCACACACTGATTTAAGAATGTTCACCTTAGCACAGTGGGTCTCTCAAGCAGAACAAAATGCAGCATTTGGTGGCGTTGTATATGTGACGATGTGACATTTAATCAGGAATCTAATCTAATGAACGAGGGGGAGAGAGGGTGGGGAGGGGTTGTGAGCCTGATGTTCAGCTTTTTTCTCTGATACCTTAAGACCCAGTGGTCCGATGATTTTTATTCTTAATCGACTTCAAATAAACAATTGAAAACCACAAAGATCTATTGTAAAATCGTAAAAAATGTGGCTTAAAACTGGATTCAAATTCCATGATGTAGTCCTTGATGAATGTGCAACTGAATATGAAGCAAACTTTACTGTGATTAAAAGAATGATTTCTTCTAGGTTTGAAAATTGCTGGAAATATATAGGATAATAATAATAACATACATAACATATGTGTTCAATGCAGAAATGTGACATTATACTGCTCGATCATGCCAGATGATCTATTCTAGTTGTGCATATTCTTGTATTCCCACATAAGGCTAATGAAATAACCACAAAGAAGTGCCTCAGTGAGGTTTTGTGGGCCCCTCAAGCCCCAGGGCAGATCCCAATTTTGGTGTGGTTAAAGGCTTTAAACTAAAAAACACAACCAAATAATCTCTTACAGATCTGTAGGAGACAAGTTGCAACGGCAACACTGATGTTATTTATCACCTTCTACAAAAGTACGAGGTGTAACAGGATGCCGCTAAAACCATGAAGATGCTGTTTCGCAGTCGTTACATTGCTGCTTCATCATCAGCCTCTTCGCTTCAGAACGATGCACATCTGAAATGTGTTTCTCTCACGAACAACACTCGCTTTCTATTAACGGAGCAGCAGAGAGAGAAATATCGGAGGTCATGAACCTCCAGCGAGCGGAGAGTTTCAGTGTCTAGAACGAAGCACAGACATGAGTTTGTGGAGCTGGAACTCTCAGCTCTAATGAGGTGATAACATTACAGTAATTTTGTGTAATGGAGTGGGGGGAAAAAAACGTTGCTCATTCCTTGACTAAGATTTCCTACAGAACACTTTCTCATGCTTTCACAGCTCTTTCCAAGTTGTCTTTCCGCAGCATTGCTGCAGCCTTTAGGAGTTATTGATTTAGCCTGAGGCATGAGGGAGGGGAAAATGTGAAGGACGACACTCCACGATCTTTCTCTGAGAGACAGATGAGGACCCATCGAAAAGGTCATTTGATTTAGGTCTGTGATAAATGCTTTTTTGAGTACTCCCTTATCTATGCTTTCTCATTATTTCATCTATATTTATTGAGGTCGATGAGATAACATCTCACTGACATTGAAGTTGTCTGCATGTGCTGTGGGAGAGAAGAGGGTGATCTGAAATGATTCTGAAGGGTATGGTGTCGAATTGGGGGGGGGGGACTGATCTTTCCACTATTTCGAAAATATAGAAAATGGCTCAGTAAACTGAATGGGTTAGTTTTTCCTTTATTTTGGTGAGGCCAGTCCTTTAATTTTGTTATCCAGTGGCTACAAATGATCCACTTTCAGAATAAATAATTAACCTGCATAAAATCCATCCCATCACTGTTATTTGGTGTAAATAAACAGTGTAAATAAGTGAAATATAATGATGTGTTTCCAACATCAGACAGTGGCCCACCATATTCTTATTTGTTCTCATAATGAAACAAACAGCTACGGGATTGTGAAATGATGCCATCCACATGATATTAACCGCCTTTAAAGAAGAATGTGTTTTATTCACAATGTCAAGAAGAAGAACTACACTACCCAGCAGAGATAGAGGTGTAATAGTGACATCTCGATTACCATGGAAATGGCTACAGTCAGATCGCTAAATGTTACTGCACGAGGCTACTAGAATTGACACTATATGAAATGCTACACACATACATAAGAGATTCTTCTTCTTGGCCTTAAATTAAAAAAGAAGAGCACTGGACATCATTGGAAAGGGATCCCTTACAATGTATATGTAATTCCTTTAGTATTAAAATAATGGTCATGATTCATTCTGTGTCTGGTCGGCCTTAAAATTAATTTTACGTAAATTTTCAGAAATTTCTATTTTACTTCTAAAACCAGAGTTATTCCAAATGTGGGCGTTACTGTTAAGTTTTTACTGTACATGCAGCAGTCAGACCTCATACTTCAAGCTGCAGTTGTGTGCAAGGCAGTGCTCTTTCTCATGCGATATCTCGTCTCACTTTTTATCCTGAGTACCTGTCACTCTGAATCTCTTGTGCACCAGAATGATGTTTGTGCACCCCCACTACTGTCATAGACTGAATGAGTTACGTGGGAAACACTGTGACGATATCCTTTAAAAGTTTCTGATATTTCTATAGTGACATGAGTCGAGACGAGTGATCTTACTTGAGTATCTTGAGGGGGATAGAAGTGTCCTTGATGGCAACAATGACTCCACCGTGGTCCATGTACAGGATGTGATGCTCCTCCTCAAACACCTTCACAGAAGACATTATTGGGGGTGAAGTGGAAACAATGTTACTAACACAATCATATGCTTATGTTAATCTAAATAATGTAAAGCAAGAAATGAAAAACTTTGCTGATCAGTCTTGGGTAAAAAAGCCCTGGATGGATGTCAAGTGAGATTTTATGTCTTCAGATGGAGCAGCTTTCGAGGAGAAGAGTGGTGAGGAGGGACAGGAGTGTAGAAATAAAAAGGAGATTCGAGGGGGGACATAATGTACCTGTCTCCATGTCTTCCCACAGTCTGAAGTGATGTACATCTCTTCCTTGTACTCAACCAACTTGGAGCCAAGGTTACCTGAAGACAAGATGGAGAATTGAAAGTTTCCTCAGGCAGGGAGGCTCAGTCGAGGTATCAACAACAGAAAGCACAGAGACTGAGGAGACAGTGAAACATCAAATAAAGATGACCTCAGATAGAGGATTAAACCTTCGAACCTTTTTATTGCTCTGATTTGCTTTTTAACAATGGGAATGGAAGGAATGGGCCCCAGGGCACTGTATAAATCAAAAAGATATTACACAGTGGAAAAGACTGCCATGTCCGTTTAACATGTGACTTTCTTAAACAAAAGCATGAAAGAAGGAAAGACTACGTCTATGAAAATAAAAAGTTGAATGCTCTTAATCTTTACTTTAGACTTTTTAGAATGAATTGACTTGTCATACTTTCAATCTTACATTTACTCAGATCATAATTTGACTCAAAGAGCTTAAATGTTTCTGTTACTGAAGTTTAATAACACTTTGTGTAAACGAGCTCCAATACTTATATATATATATATATATATATATATTCTTATTCTTTCTCAGTTTGCAGGACCAGTGTTTTTTTTTTTCCTTCTTTCTACATGAAACGTCTACACAAAAGCGCACACAGCGAAGTATTCAATAAATAAAATTGTATTTGGTTCAATGAACTCCTCTGTGTGCTCGGGCACAGAGCAGGAAGAGAGAAATAGTGGTGTTGAGGCTCTTCCCTGGGTAAGTGGAGGTTTGTCTTTGTGGCACTCTTTAGCTCAGCCATGCGGACTGTTTGTACACAACAGAGCTTTATCGGACTACAGCAGACACACATCAACACAAACTGACACACAAAGACACACAGGCATATACTGTACATATAATAAACAAACATACATGCAGTATTATCGGGCCATGGTTGATGTATCTGTGTTTTTGCCGATCTTTATTTAAGAGAACGGTCTTTCAGTTTGAGAGCAGGACTTATTGATTTCAAATGTCCTGCACTCTCATGGCCTGAAAGGTGTAGAAAACCTAACACTAAATTATTTACTTTTGGTTTATTGTCAAACCATCTGACTGTCCAGAAAGATGGACGATGAGACAGCTGCTGGTTGGCTGCACTCTAGGTCAAAAACCCTGCCTCCTCCACATTAGTGGAATGGACACTTCATTATCAGAAATCTTTCCCCAAAAGTTTCTTTCATTTTTTGTTTTATAACACTGCTCACATTGATGCTATATAATACTGGATGAAACATCATGGTTGACAGCCGTGACTGGCTCGCAATTGGTCGTGCTCTTGTTTTACTACTGCGTAGACTTGAATGATTTCAAAAGTGGCATCCAGGATATCTTGGCTTCAAACGTTGTCCATCTTTATACACAGTCTACGGGTCAAACAGTTTTTAAATGAATACAATTTTGAAAGTGGAGACTCACCGGCACCCATGATGAGACCTGGGGCGGAGTCTTTGGTGTGGACAGTCCCAGAAACGTAGGGGTTGTCGGCCCAGCGCAGGTGCAGGTGGAGGTGACACTCGGGCTGCAGAGCGGAGACACGCAGACAGAATTGAATGTGAGGATTAAAGAGTCATTCGTTCACAGTGTATACATATCCAGGACTTCCCAGAGTATGCACTATAAAGCAAGAAGCTTTGGCCTCTTGAAAGAGATAAGTGAAGTACACCTGCTCAGTCATATTTAATGAGTCTTACCACACAGATACCTGATAATCTGACTGCAAATACAACTACAGTGCGGGGGATCTCAGTTCTGTTAATCAGACTTTTAATGGGAGTTAATTCATTTCAAATGAGAAAAGCAATCATGAGATCCACGAATGCAAACATTTGTCAGGAGCAGAGTTGCTCACACCGACACTGACCAGCAACAAGTGTGCTGTACTTTGTGCTGGGGACTTTTTAAACGTTTCTGTATTTTAACGTCTGTGGTTTGGAGTTTAGTTCCACTCCCTCGTGTCTGATTACTTCTTAATATGTTGCTGTCCATGGATCTGTTTCATTCTCATCAGAGCTGTCTTCATTCACTGCTGATCTTCTTGTTGCTGCAAAGCTTTCCACTGCTTTTATTGTTAGCCAGGCTTCATTTGCAGTGAAGCAAATCAATTTGAACCAGAATCTGCTTTTACTGAAAAGTATGTGTGCAATCTTCAGTCTTATTATTTCCCCTTCTTTACATTATTGATCTGGGAATGCAGCTTACATCTCAATGAACAGCAGTAATAAGAGCAAACTTATATTTGGCTTAAAAAACAACAAAACATTTTTTAGTCACCAACTATCTGTTAGATTTCAATTCTTTAGCCTGTATAGGTTTTGAGAAATCATTGGATTAAAGGTAATTAATAACTCATTAGGTCAATTAGATTTGGCCACACACTCACGTTTGTTAGCCAATCTTAAAAATATAAAAATCACATATGTAGGCAGTGTTCGGTATTCGAGGAATTCAAAAATAATGTTTGAGTGAATGTTTGTGTTAAATGTAAAAGGATTCCCTCAAGGCATCCCTGAGATATCATATTCCCAGAGCAGAACATGTGCTTTGGTCACAGTGACCTCAACCTTTGTCCCTCGACTACATAATTGTAATCAGTTCACAAAAAACAGAAAGGCAGACTCCTCTACAGGCAGTAGGAAAGGATTCAATCACTTATTTTTCAGCGTGTTTACCCGTGTTTATAAAAACTTCCTATACCTGCTAATTTTGTATAAAAGAGTTATCAATATATTTGTTAACAACTGAAACTCCTTATATTGACAATCATAGGTTGAGACTGTGTAAATACTAAGTAGAACACAGCTGTCATAGCATACATTTCTTCACATGAAAGGTTACAGAGCATTATAAACCACTGATGTGATGTTAAACTGGGAGATTAAAGTAAAGACGTCCAGCATGATGCAGGAAAACCAAGTTCTTTAAAATCTTTAACCTTTTACCACAAATAGATTACACTGGTGTGCTGGTAAATGCTAAACCTTTTCCACAGTGACATTCCACCACAGCGAAAATGTCAAGCGTTTCAGTGGAACACAGTGAAGCAGACCATGATATTTAAAGCTGCACCTGTAACACACAGAAATGTATCTTTGCAGTGTTTCTTTAATCCTGTCTTCACCTTTCCGTGCTCGTTACCGCACACAACAATGTGTTTTTCTCAAGGGTGAGCAGCACAAATCAACTCCACACTTTGGGTGTTCACAGTCACGGCCGTCTCACTTCACGGGGAACGCTGAATACCCGTTTGGCTTTTGAAGTCTAAACAGTTCATTGTGCTGCTTTTCAGCTTCAAATTAAAGGCAGCTTGCAGACGTTTATCTTACAACACACCTTGTTCACACACTCTGATGAACTACTCCTGTTCCTTAATGAGGTCAATACTCTCAGCCAGTCTCCGTCAGATGGCGAGGTAAGGGATACGGCTGACAGTGTTAGCCTGATGCAGTGACACATTAGATAGCACATCTCGTACCTGGCTTTGTCTGGGCCCGCTGATTTGTGATCAGCAGGTGATGGGTGTGATAGTAGTGTTTGAACCGAAGTCATGTCTCTGGCCGCATAGACATTTATTTTGCATGGTTATTATGTTGAGGTATAGATGAAGCTAAAGGGAATAAGAGGTCATTGTGTGAGTGTCTATTTGACTGTGAGGTGTGATGTATAGAGATATCAGACTGTGGCGGACTGCAGGTGAATGCCAGGCTGACATCTCATCCCTCCTTCTCTGACTCCATGTTCACAACCCTGGTCACAACCTCATGGTGCACAGCTTTCTCTATTGTGACTGATTTGACTGGCAGCTGCATCACAGTTTGGACATAAATAGTATAGTGTGCTAGTGGTAGAGAAAATGTATGTCTGAGTTGGCGTCGTGTCAATTAAGAGGACATAATGCATTATATATTATACTGAGGTGACAAAGGGTGACACTTACTGCTTTGCAGCTAACAGGCTTTCCATTCATGTCAGTCGTAGGCGGGGCCAAGGGTTCCCAGTCTCGTCCTTTGTTATAGGTGATGAGAGTCGTCACTTTGCCATTGCTCTTCTGATTGGCCAGAAAGACCCCTTTGATTCCACGCACCTAGGAAACGATGTGAATTTACATCAGAAAGGGATAACCTAACAAAACATGAACTGAAAGGCAAGCACTGCAGCCAAAAGGCGTAGTTGTTATACATGGTATATTCTAAAAGAAGGTGTAAAGTAGAATAAATCTGGAGGTAAAGTCATTCAGGTGGAGCGGCAGGTCCTAAGGCTGAGGAGTGAATGTGCGCACTGATTGTGACTGATTCCTTTACCGCTCAATTTAATATTGGAGGCATTTTTCTCACAAGCCACAATGTTCTCACAGTAAAATTACATTTTTCAGAAGGACAAATCGGGTGATAATCAATTTTGTGAGAGACCTGTCTCTCAGAGGCAGTCACATAGTCTGACTTTCATTCAGAAACTATGATTTAATAATGTATTTTCCTTAAAATAAGCTCAAAGTAAAATGTGAGAGGAGAATGTTTCCTGGCAGACGTCTCATAAAGAGTCCAAATATAAAACTGCTGTAACTTTACCCTGAGCTAAAGAGCTAGATTTAGAATATCAACCAGAACATAAGAGAACCTGCCCTTTAACTGTCTGCAGCGGCTGAAATATGATTACCCACGGTGCAATGCGTTACAGGGCAATGCGTTTACTGGAGGCTGAGAGCAAACCACTGACACAGAATGTGCAGGGCCATAAAAGTTTAACTGAAATCAATACATACTGCATGGTTTCTGCGGCTGCAAGGTTGCTAGCTATAGGCTCTGAAGCTGAAACATTAAACGCAGATATGATGATGAAGACAGCACAGAGAGCCATTTAAACAAAGCCAGGAACTTGTCAGACATGTCTCCATCCGCAGACTCCCCAAGCTCCATTTGCTTTCTATTATGTAGCACTGATGTTTATGGAGTGAAAGAAGGTAATTGTTTAAATCAAGGCACATAAGCCTGCTTGTATTCTCTCTGGACGTCTGGCTTCTCTCCTTTCTGTCTGCACCTCTTCATCTCCCCGCTTCTGTTTAAGCATGTCTTCTCCTCTCTTCATTTTCTGCCTCAAGCCTTGATCCATCCATAAGTGTAGAGCTGCACCAGAATGACGCTTTGTCCCTTTTTTCTCCGAGTGAGAGAAGAGAATATTTTCAGTTTGTATAATGATGAATTTAAGCAATATCCATTTTATTTGTATCACCTAAGTCCCATAACCACTATCTGATGAATGAGAACCAACAATTGTTAAAATGGTCATATTGACATGTTCGATGTTTTGATTGTTTCACATCTCATGCATTGTTTGGCAGGCAGAACACATTCCACCTTAAAGAAACACTAAGTAGCATTTATACCTTAAAATAGCAGCTTCAAAACCATTTTGATGGCACACAAACAGCAATCATTGTAGTCGCTGGTTTCCTTTAAAGGTGCTGTGAATAAAATCCTTTTCTCCACCAAGCTTACGTTATTCATGATACATTTAGAAATATTACAAAGCAAGCCTGTAAATCTGTGACTGCATACACAATGGCTGCTGGGAATTAAAGCTAGTTTAGCTACATTTTCATTTAAGCTCTTAGATAAGTTTGGGCTCTGCTGCACTGTAACTTTAATATGTAAACCTGCCACTGTAGGAACAATGGTTGGCATGCATGCTTTCTGCAGCCCGAGTGAGTGATGAGAGAGGACGATTTAATTCTGCATTGAGTGCCTCTGCTGTATGGTCCCTCGCCTTTTCCTTTCTTCCTCCTCCTCCACTTGATTCATGTCCTTGGTGGCCGTTTATCTAGAGACCTTGCCACAGCACTGAATAGCTTGACTGCCAGAACACACGGATTGAAAGGGAAGGCAGACACAGTAGTTTCAAATTCAAGCTCATCCACCGACACAATTCTGAGACCTTGAACACATGTCAACCTTTCTTTCATGAAAAAACACATAAATTACTGAATGAATTCACTTAATATCCATTTAGGTGGAGGAAGCATGCATCTTCACATTTCAACACCTACTCATTATTTCTTCTCTGTAACTGTAGAATGTTTTTGTCAAACTCCTGCACCATACAGTAATTACCATTGTCAAGAGGCCAAAATACCCCACATTTGTTTGCTGCCATATTGTCCTGCTTATACATGTCTACATAATTGTTTCCAAACAACTCAATTTCTACTCGTCCAGACCAAAATGCAGCCCCATAGTTTTTTAATTTAAAAAGGGCCAGCAGCGTTTCCAAACTGTCTAGTCTTACTTATGGGTGGATGTAAGATGGAGCTTGAGACTAGCAGGAGGTTTACATTTCAATTCACGCCTCCACCACAAGCTTTGATTTCTCACTGAAACAAGACTGGATGGTAAGATGAGTTTCCCTCTTTTGGTGTTTGGGGACAAGATAAGGACTCAGAGGGGTCAGAGTGGAATTCACACTCCACTACACTGTCAAGAGCTGGTTGAGGTTGTTCTGGTATCTGATTAAGATGGTGCCCAGATACGTCCGTGTGGAGGTTTTCCTTACATAACCCACTGGGAGGAGAGTGAGGGACAGACCCAGAAATCAATGAAAGGGATTACATATGCCATCCGGGTCTCTGGATTCCCTAAATAGGCTAGAAAAGCTGACTAGAGAAAGGAACCTAAGAGATGTGTAGGTTCTCATTTTCCACATCTTTTGCACACTGCAGGAACTTTCTTCTACTCTTCCTTTTGTCATCTCTGGTAACATGCCACTCGAAACCACAGGCCTCTGTCAGAAACACAATGCTTTTGCTTTAAAGTGCTTCTACTAAACTTCTGATTGGTTGTGATGTCCCGCTGTGACTGAAATAGACTGAAAGGCAGCTACTTCTTTTCAGTGTTACCGAAGACAAGAAGACAAACACAAAGTGTCAAATTGTATGCCAACATTAGGACGCAGCAAAGTGATGAGATGGCTCAGGGTGAAAACTAAAATGCTTTGTCACCAGAGGCGCCTACATCATTTCATTGGTCACATACAAATTGTATAAAAGTGGTAAAAATGCTAAAAGTGCAACTGACAGCAAACATCACTCTCCTTCAATCATAGAAACTGCTAGTTTGTCTATTAGCCACCACTATGTAAGACACATCTATTTGAATTCAGTCTTAAAACAGGGACAGGGGTGTGTTTCTGTGGGTAAACCTTATTCTCATCTTGTCCTAATTATTAAATAATCAAACAATGACAAATGACCCATACCAACAAAGAATCTATCTCACAGACTTTGTGTGTGGGAGGTTCAAAGTGACCTATAAAGTTTATTTTCACCCACTTAAACTGTCCTGCTGCCTACAAATTCAAATAGATTCAAATGTGTGTTAGTCTGTCACTGCTCGTCAAACAATTGCACTGTTTGAGTAACGTATCATAAAAACGTCAAGACGGGCTGATTTAAAGATTCATTAATCTTTTTTTTATTTTTTATTTGTGGCACAAAGATTAACATCCTCAGTAAGAACAAATGGGTTTAGGGCTGAGTGCCATAAAAGTGACTAAGTAGCACACTGTTGGTTTTGGTTCTCTAATGGGATTTGTTGACAATAAGGAAATTAAAGAACGGTGCCAGCTTTATCCTTTAAGCATGATTAAATTGTCCTTTTTCATGGTGTAGTTACGTCAAGTGCTCGTGGCTGATTGGCTGCTCGGGAATCAGTGTCTGGAGGTAAAGAGTCCCGGAGGAGAAAGAGCTTACATTTGGACTCAGCTGTGTTCACAGCACCAACTAATTACAACCTGCAGAATATGAATGCCATTTGAAACTGAAGTTAATTTGCAATTCATGAATATCATTTTTTTAAATAGTGTATTGGGCCTCTTTCACTCCATCTCACCTCCAGGATGTCAATGAGGACGTTCTCCTCCGGCTGCTTGGTGCTGCGGACATTTTCCAGCACGATGGAGTAGTAGACACCCTGGGGGTCCGACTGGTACAGGTTATAGGTGTCTGACTGGTACCACTCCTGGAGGGCGAGGAAGACCTGGTTCTCGTCCGTACTCACTATCTGAACATCCTGGAGGCAGAAGTGGAGGGATGGAGAGAGAGAGGAAGAGAGAAGGGTGGGGACCAGAAAGGAAAAGTCAGTATTTTCTAAATCATTGGTGCTGAGATTGAAGGGGAGAAAACCTTTAATTATGATTAATCATGAAAGCTGGTTAGACAAGCTTACAGACTTTGGGAGAAATCCTTAAATAGAAAAAATATGAAAAACAAGAACACGTTGGACTTTACAAATAAGAGGAAACAAAAAAAACAAGTGGAGGGTAAAGCAGTAAACAAAATGTCAAGAAGAAATAGGAAAAAGGAAAATGAATGAGAAATGGGGAGCAGTAGATAAACCAGTGAAAGCAGCAGAACAGTCACAAAGTTTGACAGCAAGTCACAGAAAGCCAGAGAACATAATCCAATAAATACAGAGTGTCACAGAAACTAACTGGGGGAGATAAGAGAGCACTTCACCCGCTGAAAAACTGTTTTTGGCAGCTAAGGAAACTTGTTCAATGTTCGTTTCAAAGCTTGTGAGCCTCAAATGCAAATGGCTTCATAGCTCATGAAAGACTGTAACGTTGGCACAAAGAGCGACTCAGCACTTTCTCTTTTAGTGATTACATTAACACATTTTAAGATAGAGCCATCACAGCACAGGGGTTGGTGCCCTATAAGGTGTGTCTATGATTATTGATGCACCGACACTAGAGCTCAATTACACTCAGGTTTATGTTCTGGCTCGAGGTATAACAGCACTGAGAGCTGTGCGCGCCTAATATTTATAAATGCACTGTTTCTCTCACTTTGAAACCTGTCTGCAAATTACCAGGAGGACAATTATGCCAACAAGAGGAAAGTGGAGAGGAACAAAATTAATCTGGGACACAGCCTGGTTGATCTTTCAGCCCAAATATCTCTAAAGTCAGAAAAGCCACAGGCATCCTTAACTTTGAATATGAGGGGGAAGATGGGGGAAGAAACAGGACCTGGGTATACTCGCTAACTTTGGTGTAAAGGATGGATGGACACATCAAGCGTTTGTGAGGCAATGAACTGGTGGACTGGGGCTGCCTCCTGAGATCTCAGCAGAGAGGCAGCAGGATGATTAATGACAGGTCTTATTTCTAGCAAGATGTTAGTGATGTAATTAGTAGCAGTGTAGCAATGAGACTGATTCCAAATCGTACTGTACATTTAAAGGTTGCTAAAATGATCCTCAACCTGGCCTCTGATCTCAGCCCTGCGGTTTCTCCCTCATTGAAGCCGGATGAATGTTTGTTTCCAAAAGCAGACAATCTCTACTTTCCAACAATCCTCATTAAAAAATAGTGCAACAACAAAACCTGACACGCTGTTTGCTGCAGAGAACATCCTTTATGTGAGGATTCTTTCTGATTCGCTGCATCTCCCGTTCCTTTTCTCCGTCAGCTCGCCTCTGATTATAAATCCAGTTTACCAATCGCTTTGAGAGCATTGCGCTCGGCTCAGGCAGCAGCTTGAAGCTGGAGGAGGAGCTGGCACACAGAGGTGTGCAAACTTTAGCTCCAGCTGCCTTTTAACATTCAGAGTCAGCCCTCCACCCACCACAGTGGCTAAAACCATAATCCAACACTACAGAAGATACAGCGTGTCTATGTATCTAAATTATACTTCCATTGGACAAGCAGAGCACAGGGTGGCTGAGGCTGCATATGGTTTATAACGTGTAACATTTGAAGTAGAAATGGATTTGGATGTTTATTTGGATTTTTTTGTCACAGACTGAAATTAGTGACATAATATGTATTAGATGTCATGTTTATGTTTAACTTTTATTAATCTACAGCTCCTGTTAATCGTTGTTTCTTAATATTTGCTTTATAGCCACTCTACATACCCACTGAAATACGATAGAGGAAGGTTGTGGATATAAATCTGTTATAAACAATTTCATTTACAATTCTTCAAAGTCTATGTGTTCACCTGTGAAGAGCTCACTCGTAAGCCTTAAGTTTGTGCCTGAAATTTAAAGATCAAACACGCCAGTCAAGCAACACGTTCTATGACTCAGTTCAAAATGTTTGAGTTCTAATACTGAAGAGGATTATGATGAGGAGCAGTCAAAAGAGGCTATTGTATGCACTCAGCAAGAAGACAGAGAAAAACACACACTTAACTGGGCGGATTTGGTCGAGAAGAGAGAGTCGATTCAAAAGAAGTTGCTTTTGTAAGTTGCGGCATTTAGAAGAAACTTCAAAAAGGGAGCATTTATTTTTCAAAGTCTGGAATCTGCAGAAAAGTTCTAAATTCAATAATGATTATTGTTAAAAAAGTGTTCAACAAAGAGAAAGTCTCTTTCACCATCACTTGAGGAAGGTATACATGTACAGATGGTATTGAAGACATAGTAACATAGCAATTGTTAAAAAGAGTACAAAGTCAGACAGAGCTGTAGTCCCCCTTTTCCCCCAATTCCACCTTTAACTGGTGCGACAGACTGGCACCATAAAAAAAAACCACAAAGCCAACAAAGAAGGATGTCTGTGCAAATGTTGCCCAAACTTCTACAACCTGTATTCTCTGATCCATTACTGGAGTCGGTGGCATTTGAGAAAAGCTTTTACATTAAGCCATAGCTAAAAGAGCTAAACATAGTATAGGGCAAGGAGAAGGCAAGAGGTCCTGGGAAATATCAACGACAAGCTGTGTGTTTTCGAAAATGCCACCTGCTTGGCTTCAAGTGTATTCTCCTTTACTCTCAGGCTGAAATCCTGTCTTGACATAGAAGGACATCTCTACCAGCGTGCCCCTTATTGGTTTTGCATCACTGAGTGCCCTCTGAGAGAAACACCTTCCATCCATCTCTGTCAGGGCCACAGTCACCCCAGACGCAAGGCCGACTGCTGAGAGTGAAAAATCAGAGATCCTGGGTCCCAGAAGCTCCGAGAAATAACCACCGACACTCAGCGATTTTTAACTTCCCCTCCCTTGACCTGCACTCAGCACGGTGTTAATAACTCTAGAGAGTTACTGCGAGAGACAAATCATTAGGTGGGGAGTGCTTAAGCTCAATTTACACTCAAATGGAAAACTGTCTGGACGCAGAGACCCTCCATGCACATCCTTAATAAGTGTCCGATGCAGGGCGAAAACAAACCACAAGAATGAGCAGAAATAAGTGGTGTGATCAGTCAGCAGTAAAGTATACAACTACACCAACAGAAAGCTACACGGTGGTCTGAAAGACGGAGAGAACGAAACAAGACACAGGAGCTGCTACAGCAGAGCAGAGGGTGAAGAGTGTAATAGACTGATGACATTATCAAATGAGCTGAAATTTGAATAAGATGCTGGGTTAGCAAAAGGTGCATGTTTCTGTTTATATTGGGAGACGGGCTATTTATAAGCTAACCCTTACACTGTGCATGCTTACGGTAAACCATCCATCTTCACTATTATTTGGGATTTAGGTGTCACACCTACTTTCAGTCAAAATGCTACTTAGGGCCGGACAATTAACCAAATCGAAACGGACGTTTATAACTTCTAACCAAACAAATTTTGCTCATGTCTGTGATTTTTGTTTATACTTTCCCCAAAACGTGCATTTACAAACTGTCAGGTTTGTGCGTGCCCGACACGTTAACAATAAACCCCAACATTAATCAGAAGTTATTAGGACACTCACGGGACTTTAAGTTTACTCTGTGTTTGTTTGATTCGCTTTAAAGTTTAGGAGACACGCATTTAAACACGTTGAAAAAACCCTCAACATTTTGCACGCATGCAGTTCACACACAAGACTTAACGTGATGCACACAGCCAGGACATCAGGGTTAAAGTGACAGGACATCATTGATTAATAACTAAATAAATGTGATCGTCAGTTTGTGCAAAGCGCAACAGTGACGAGGAGACACGCAGGAGAGATGTTCTTCGTGCAGATTGTAACACGGCGCGGTGTTCTGACTTCATTGCTGCAGAAGAAGCGATGCCCGTTTATGGAAGTACATAAATATGAATTCAGCAGGTTTTTATAAAGATTAGTTCTACATATGAGTGATTAGAAAACAGCAGAGGAGCACAGTCGCTTGTTGACTGACACTGAGTAATGAGCAGAGTGATTAATCGTAATCAAAGATTAAATTTGAAATAATCATGATATTGGTTTGAAGTCATATCATACTGCTACTGCTCTGATGGATGTCAATCTTCTGGAGATCCCCATACACTTGCTTAAACCGATTTCATTTAGCTGTAATGCATGTACACACATTTTGTATACAGACATCCTGCAGCAAATACATTTACAAAGAATCCCATACCTGTTACAGTTTCAATCCTCAAAATGAGGTGTATGCTAATACACTGACCAGTGGTAGATCTAGGCCACATATCACATATGAATAAATATTTATTGTCAGTATTGTTAATAAGTGACTGGTTGATTTAAAAAAAGACTATTGACAGGACAGGGATATTTCAAGGGCCAATCAGATTTCAGCCTGTGCCAGTGTTTCTGTTGTGCATCATCCACCCACTGTCAGTAAACACAATGTGATGAGGTTAGGTGGATATGCAACACAGTCCATGAGAGAATTACAGTTATTCATGAGGACTGGTTCTGTAGATTCCAATTAATGACCAATGCTGATATTCCAAGTCAACATGGGTAATGGCTTTTAAAAGATATGCAGAGAAGCAGTTCACAGTGTAGGCAGAAAATTCAGTCTATCAGAATGCAAACAAAACATGAGCATTCAATAATAATGGAGATTTATGCATGTGAAGTTGATTTCATGGAAGCATAGGGCTGTGGACTATACTTTCTGTTATTTCCCCAAAGTCTCACTTTGTTGTGAGACTGTGAGAAGCCGATAACAGCCACGCTCACATTGAGAGGAATCCTTGCCACCGAGGACGAGGAATTAAAAAGTACCACGACCACTGAACTGTCTGTATCTCCAGGCAATGTCTGCATCATCACAGGAACCATCTCACTTGCAAACTTGATTGACTTGATTTTCTGCATTTGGATCAGTTTCCTGTTGAGCTGCTTCGTGATTCTGTCTTTGATTGTGTGAGTTTGCATGAATCGGATGTGTGGTGCATTTGATGATTGCTTTATTTTATAATATTCTTGTATTCGGTATTTGTTGTAAATTTTTGTAATTTAATTCTGATTCTATTGTCCCAATACATCACGCCATAAATACAGACCTTCATTGTGGTTAGAGTCTGTAAGAGTAGAACAGGTTGAGAGCCTTCAGCTACCAGACTCCTCTCCTGTGGAACCAGCTCCCACTCTGAGATCAGGAGTCAGACATCCTCTCTATATTTAAGGTTAAACTTAAAACTTTCTTCTTTGATAAATCTTTTAGTCAGGGCTGCATCAGGTGAGCCCTAAAGTATAAAATCACACGTTTTGACACCTTCTGCTTTCGGATTTAAGGTTTGAGACTCAAAGCCTGGCTCCAGCTGTGAACTTCCCTGTGCATCCGTCTTCTACCTAATTCCTGTGCACATCAAAATGAAACAGTTTGAAACCATAAACTAAAACTATAATACTCTCATGACATAAGAAGGGGATTTAAGAAAGTCCCTTACTTATAGCACTTCTGATACTTCCCGCTGGAAGCTCACTTCCAGGCTTCTTTTTAATAGATCAGACTCCATCATTAAGTAAACTTGGCCGAAATAGTTTGAGGAACGTCTTGCTCATTTAATTTAGAAAAAAAAAAAAGGAAAACATCTGATGCCAGATTTCCCCTGGCAGTCATCCGTCACATAATAGCCTCTTCAGAGTGCTCACCCTCTCTCGGCAGCATTGGGCTCATTTCCCTCCACACTCAACAGATCCCATTAATCATATTAAAACCCTCATCATGCCCCTTGGACATTATTCACACTGAATTTAGTAAAGAGGTCTTTGATAGAGTAGGCCCACACATTTTACCTTTCAGAAATACTTGACTGGCTTCTGGCTGCACGCAGCTTTCTGAAGGGCATCGTCTTAAAGATGCAATGTGTCCTTTTCAGAATAATAAGCATATACGAAAATGTCCTTGTTGTCCTTGATTTTGCCATTTTTTTCAATGATCAGATCTTTTGTATCTCCCATGTCAACCTATGATATGCATATCCACCTCAACCCCTTCACTCAATGTCCATTCATTTGTTATACATTTCCTAGGAAATGAGAAATGGGTTGTCAGTGGATTCCCTTTTTTTTTTTTTAAATCAGAAGCCTGATTCAGTCATATGTGTAGCAAAATGAGGTTTTTGACGAAGGTGTGTGATGCCCTTTAGAGATACAGACTGGGTCAGTGGCCAGTTAATTAAGGTTACGATTCATTTATGATTTGAACTTCCTGGCAATATCCCAGTGGCACTGGACTTCCCTTTCCTTTGTGTCCTTGAGCAAAGCAACCTATCTGCTTCAGTGGAACCGTCTGTGCACCGGGGCTGTATAATCTCACTCAGTCAAACTAAGTATTAAACAGAAAGGTGATTACAACCAGGGTGATAGACAGCAAGGGAGAGGATGGAAACAGAGCAAAAAGAACAATTATTACCTGTGATTTCACAGCCCAGTAAGCAGTGTGTGTGTGTGTGTGTGTGTGTGTGTGTGTGTGTGTGTTTGTGTGTGTTTAATCCATAACTCGGGTCAGGTCTCACAGGACAGAGCCAAACTGCTCTCTCTGATGGCCTCTGCATTTTTCATCCTCGAGCCTTTCAATTATTCAAAGTGGAAAAACATGGAAACACTCCCTCTCTCATCCTCCCTTCCTCTCCTCCCTCCATCCCCATTTCTCTCTTTTTTTCTTTCTTCTCCTCCCCACTGTGTGTCGCCTCACTTAAAAGCTTCACAACGTGTGACCTATCTGCTCACCCAAGTAAGAGGACACATGTAGAGGCAGAGAGAGACAACTAGGGCATACTTTAACTGAACACACACACACACAC